TTTATCATGAAGACTAATTTCTTCCCAGAAGGGGCTATACATTTTATTTTGCAAAAGACTTTGTTGCAAATTAGAACCATTCTTTCTTACTGTAGATTAAAACAACTTGGGTCTAGATGTCTTTTATCTAACCATATTCCAGCTATATTCAGCTACCTATAGACCTCAAATCAACAGAGTATTAATGGGCCGAAAAAGTAAACCTGCCAGTTGGTAATCTGTGCACTTACAGGAATGCACTGTTAATTAAGGGTCAGGTTGAGATTGAAGCCAATGAATAAAATATTTATCCAGTGATTTATAAAGCAATTTTACATCCATTATCAACAGAATCCTTTTCATAGCCCTGTGAGGTATTAAGTATTGTTACTATTCTAGCTTCACACATAAGGAAAGGGATGTCAGAGACTAAAGTTTGCTTAAGGTTCTGTAGCTACTGAGTGATGGGTCTAGGATTAGGATTCAAGTCATTTTACTCCAAATCTTGTTGCTTTTTTTTCTTAATCCTGATTTATCCCTTGGCTTCCTCCAGATTAATTCTTCAGTGTTCCAATATATATAGACTACCAGAGTAATCTGAAATATTCTTCCTGGGTAGCTAATAGACCCACTGAACCTTATATAAAACAACATTAAAAGATTGCCATGCTCTACCCCATACATATTGAAACATAATCTTCAGAGTGTAACCTATGTGTCTGTGTGTTCGAAATCACCTAGGTTGCTCTGCTACTTGGTAAGGTTTGGGAAGTATTACCTTTAAATCATTTTTAAGGTTTAAAGCGCTTTGGAAAGAAGATAATCTCCAAGATGATAACAAGTGGCAGGGTCCTGAGCAACCAAAAGGCATTACCTTAAGTTGAGGTGCTGAATGAGAGACACTGAACTATCACAAGGCTGGAGATATTTAAGTATGAAATGTCTGGGGAAAAAAATAGTGCATCAGCAGTAAAAATAAATAAAGAGAGAGAGAGAAACAGAAAGAAAGAAAAAGACAGAAAGACAGAAAGGAAGGGAAAGGGAAAGGAAAGGAAAGGAAAGTCCGATTCCCTTAAGTATTATACTAAATTTGACAGTTGATATCTCTGACATTTCACTTTGACACTTACTGTTTTATTTTTATTGTGAAGATACATCCTCAGTCTTTCAAACGTATGGTTTGGCTTGTGATTATCTTTCACATTTTTTTTAGATTAATTTTTGTGAAATCACAGATAAGTCAAAAATTCGTGTTATTTTCTAATATGAATTCCATTGTGGAACCAATGCAGCCCAGACAGTTTGAAATATCAACAAGTGTTTGGGAAAAATGTGGCTAATGGACATACAGTATGTTGGTGGTTTGAGAAGTTCAGTTCTGGTGATTTTAATCTTGAAAATAAGCCACGTGGGTGACCTGAGACCAAGGTGGATAATGATGGCCTGAAAGCTGTAGTGGAAGCGAATCCATCACAACCTATGCATGAATTAGCAGCAAGGTTTGACGTTACTATTCCAACAGTATTGGACCATTTGAAACAAACTGGCAAGGTAAAGAAGCTGGATAGATGGGTACTGCTTAAATTAAACAACCATCAGAAGACAAATCATCTCAAAGCTTGCCTCTCTTTGCTGTCACAACATAAAGGCAAACCATTTCTACACCATATTGTTATGTTTGACAACAAATGGAATCTTTTTGGCAATCACAAGTGTTCAGCACAATGATCGGATAAAGATGAAATGCTGAAACACAGTCCAAAACGAAGTATTCATCAAAAAAGCTAATGTGTGCTCTCAGTTGGGAAACAAAAAAAAGAAAACAAAGAAAAGCTAATCATTTCTGTTTGGTGGTCCAGCATCGGTATTACCTGCTACAGCTTCATGAAACGTGGTCAGTCGATTGATTATAACAGATGTCTACTTCAACCAATTGGACAAAATGATGAGGATGCTTGTGATTAAGCAACCAAAATTGGCCGATAGAGACAGGCTAATCCTCTTGCATGACAGTGCTCGACCACATGTCACAAAAATAGCACTGCTCAAACTACAGAGACTGGACGTGGAAACTCTTTTGTCATCCACTGTATTCATCAGACCTTGGCACCCACTGACTACCACTGCTTCCAGGCTTTGGACCACTTTTTGCAAGGAAAAATATCCAATTCTCAACAAGTTGTGGAAAACGCCTTTCAAGATTTCATCACCACTCGCTCTCTAGGCTTCTTAGCTGCTGGCATAAATAAGCTAACAGATGGCAAAACTGTGTGGATAGTTTAGGCACATACTTTGATTTATTGTACTGCTTCTTGTTTGAGATATAAAACACTAAGTTTCTTATTTGAAATCAGAGACTTCATATTTAATGACCTAATAAGAATCATCAACAGCATTTAAAAACCACCTCTTCATAAACATATAGAATATATAACTGCAAGAAAAAAAGTGCAGTTTTTCCCAGCCCATTTGAAGATAAACATGCCAATTCAATGCAAAGCTGTAAAAAAATTCAATGTCAGCTTTTTGTATTTTTTCCCCTTAATACTGGAAGAACATCTTCAAAGATCCATCTTTTTGTGCAGAGTTTGATAACCAATCTGATTCTTTGTTTATATACAATGTTTTAATTGAAACTCGTTCACATTGTTATGTTAAAACAATTCATTTTCATCTTATGCCCCTTATATCTAATTGTGGAAAGAAATTCTCGTAAGTTTCAGGAATTTCGAATTTTGCTTCTTAATGTTGGGAAGGAAGTTAGAGCACATATATATACTGTGATAGACCAGAAGCCCACAAGTCATGTTCCAGTCTACTCCTCTTTTTGTGCTAAGAAACATAATATCTCATTAATTACTTTTGGATTTCAACTTTCTCTCTTCTGCCTGTTACCTCCATCCTAATAAAAGCCCCACTTTCCCAAATAAAAACCTAAAAGAGAAAAAAAGCTCCACTTTTATTAGTTCTGTTAATACTTCTGATTAACTTTCTGATAAACTAATATATTGTTTATTTCATTTACTAGCTATTATTCTGCTTTAGAATTTTGTCTGGAATCTTTCTTATTAACAAAGAATACATGTAAATTGGTTTCACCAAGCCAACAGATAATTGTATGAAAATATTCATTTAAAAAATGTATTAATATATCCTACTTTGTTCCAGGAAAGATTTAACATGGCTTTTTAATAAATAGATTAATTAATAAAACAAAATAGCATAAATAGGAAATACAATTATAAGAACTTAAAATGGAACTGAGAAAAGTTACTTTGAGAACTAACTCTTCAGTGTTCATAAATTCGTTTATCTTTGCAGTGCCACTCACAAAAAAAAGTAGTACCCTTTCTGCAGCATTATGATTAAGATCCCTTCTAGGGCAAACCCCTTCTAGGTTTGCCAAAAATGAATCCTCACATGGCTGTTAAAGGGAGAAGCTAATTTTTTCATAAAATCTCTTCCTGTCTTCACATTTTTTGTAATTTTGGAACTTCCTCATTAATGCAAAATGTGGAATAAATCAGAGAGCAATATTATAACAACATACTACTTTGGTTTTGTTTATAGAATAGTAAAAACTAAAATTGAAAGCTTGACTCTACCTAGCCAAATAATCTATAAAAGTTTTGTGTCACTTTTTTGTAATAGTCATTTGAAAGTCACTTTCCTAGGCTTTTTTCCTTGACATTTGCACTTGTTTGAGTAATGAATCCCATGGCTAAATTCTGACTTTGACTGAAATTTGGCTGTACCAGTTATACTTAAAGCATATGCTTTTATTTTTAAGAGGCCTAGACTTGGATTTTTTTTTTCTTATTTTCTTTTTCTTAAGACTAGTCAAGTGCAGTAGTGAGAAGGAGGGAAAGAGTAGAACAAGGAGTTTGATCTATAACCGGGAACAATCAAGTAAGATAACTCACTACCTTTGGACCAGCTGAGATCATTTTTTTTTAAGGAGGAAAAGTAGACTCATAAATGAAAAACCTCTACAATAAAGATTTGTAGGGGAGGAGGGGGGGAAAGGGCAACATAACCTAAACATTTGTACCCCCATAATATGCAGAAATTAAAAAAAAAAACTGAAAAAAGAAAAAAATCAAAAAAGTGGTGAAAGCAGGGGAAAAAAAAAAAAAAAGATTTGTAACTGGCACCAATATGGCCAAGGTAGTTATACCTTGGCTGATTGTCCAATTTGAAAATAATTCATGCCTTTCCTTCCTGGCATTTTATTTGTTTTTTAAGAAACTTGTTTAAAAATTCATGCAAAGTTCTAACTTATGAAAACTGATCATCTAGAACTACTATGGTTGAAATAAGAGTGGGCAGCTGGGGTCAAAGTATTGCCTACTCAATATACAAATATTATCTACGTGTAACAATTAAAAATTAAAAATTAAAAAAACTATTACCTACTCAGTCTTCTTACTCTATCATCCCTCATCAACCTCTGAGATGCCTCCAAAGAACCTCTCAGGGCATCCTGGAATATCTTTCCTGAAGGGTTTTTCTAGTGTCCATTGACCTCTTTTCTAGAGAGTGCTGGAGGCTAAGGGAACCTGACAGATCAAATAATTGCATTTTGCTACTTGCTAACAGCTTAGTGGAGATTTGGCAGAAGTAGTATTTGGACCTTTTGAAAATGTTTTAGGCCAGGCGCACACCTACAGTCCTACACCTACAGGCTCACACCTGTAGTCCCAGCCACCTGGGAGGCTGAGGCAGAAGGATTGCTTGAGACCAAGAGTTCGAGACCACCCTGGGCAACATAGCAAGACTCTGTCCCTTTTTTTAAAAAAAAAGAAAAAACAATAAAATATTTGAATGTCAGTGGGTTTACATAATTCATCTTTTTCCTATCCCATATTGCCATGGAACATAGCATAGATCATCTAGATTTAGCTGTGTACATCTTTTCTGCTAATGATACTGGGGTCATCCTCAAGGTAACAAGCACTAGTAATTACAACTCTCCCTCTCCTGCTTTTTGGTCTCTCTCCACACTTTTAAATCTTATGTAGAACAAAGAACTTTGAGTCTGGTAAGGCCTATAAGACGACATGGGGAGATGGCGGAGACAACTCACCTAGCAACGTAATATCTAAGCAGCCAGGCCGGGCGGCAAATGGTCAGCCTCAGCAACCAACAACAGGAGCAGCCAGCGGAGGATACATTAAACGGTATGCCAGCTCCTCCCAATATTAATGCACTTTTCCTAAGGAAGGGCTCACTTAGGAGATAAGTGTAGCAGTACATGAACCCTAACTAATCAAATAGAAATAGTATTTATTCCATTTTTAAAATGCATTTAAAAATCTGCCTGACAAAATGTTTACTGTGGTTGTTGCCCTTGGACGATGGATTAACTTTCCTTTATACTTTTCAGTACGTTATAAATTATTGGAGTAGGAATGTTTTACTTCTTTAAATAGGAAAAATATGTTTTAAAATATATCATCTAGAATATATTGGCTAGAGTCCTATAAGGATATCTGTAAAAGGCCATATAGTAAATATTTTAAACTTTTCAGACCATACAGTCTCTGTTGCAATTGCTCAACTCTGTTGTTGTAGAATGAAGGCAGCCATAAACAATATGTAAACAAATGAGCATAGCTGTGTTTGAATAAAACTTTATTTACACAATCAGGTGGCAGGGCAGATTTGGCCCTTAGGCCTTAGTTTTCCAACTTCTGTTTTAGAGTGGTGGTTCTTTAGACTTAAGTGTGCATTAGAATCACCTGTGGGGCTTATTAAAACACAGATTGCTGGGATCCACTTAGAGTTTCTGATTTAGTAGATCTGGAGTGGAGTGTGAGACTTAGCACGTTCCCTTGTCTAACAAATTCTGAGGAGATGCTGGGAATGACACTTTGAGAAATGCTGTTCTCGAGTTGTTTCTTAATCTTCTCTTACATGGCTTTAAGACACTATGCTCTCCTTGATCAGTCTTTTTTTTTTTTTTTTTTTTGAGACAGAGTCTGGCTCTGTTGCCTGGGCTAGAGTGCTGTGGCATCAGCCTAGCTCACAGCAACCTCAAACTCCTGGGCTCAAGCAATCCTTCTGCCTCAGCCTCCCCAGTAGCTGGGACTACAGGCATACGCCACCATGCCCGGCTAATTTTTTCTATATAGATTTTTAGTTGTCCAAGTAATTTCTTTCTATTTTTAGTAGAGACGGGATCTTGCTCTTGCTCAGGCTGGTCTCGAACTCCTGAGCTCAAACGATCCACCCGCCTCAGCCTCCCAAAGTGCTAGGATTATAGGCGTGAGCCACCGCGCCCGGCCTCCTTGATCAGTCTTTCAATTTTTATTACAGAATGTTTCCCAAGAATAGTAACCTATATTCCCTTGGATCTTGTACTTGCTGAGAGTCATTTTGGTTACACATTTTTATGAAAGTTAAATCCAGATTTAGTCCATTTTAATTCAACAAAAAGTACTGAATTAATTCTCTTTTCTTGATAGTATAACTAATGATGCCAGAGAAGATGAAATGGAAGAGAACCTGACTCAAGTGGGCAGTATCCTGGGAAATCTGAAAAATATGGCTCTGGACATGGGCACTGAGATTGAAGCTCAAAACAAACAAATAGAACGGATCACAGAAAAGGTAAAAGCTTTTTGTTGCCACCAGAAAAATGAAACATCCAATCCAGTGTTTTAGTGATGAACATCTGTGCTAGATACTTTGGGTGACACAATGGGATAAAATCCTGTCCTCACAGGTCTCACAGTTCTGATGAAGCAGCAGTTCTAACACATTGAAAAACAAGAGCCATGTGGTCCCATCTCTTGCTCATGGCAGTTGATTCATTTTAAAACCACAGCCTTAGAGTGAAGTGGTTATATTTAAATGTTCACACATGAAGCTTAGTATCTATTCTAAACTTTCAGTGTGCTTTTTCCCCCCTAAATTAGTAAGTTACTTCTTGGAGTTTTATTTTGTTAACTAATAACAAATTAATAAGTTTCTGAATCCTCATCTCATGAAAGAGTTGAGGCAAAAATCAGTTCTGCAAAGTGGTTCTTGTGGAGTGGACGTACAAAATAGATTCATGTTAGTGAAGGAAAAATTGTGATTCCTATACTTTTTTTCTTTTTGTTTCACATATAATAGGTACTGAAAGTGAAATTGTTTTCGGTGTTTAGATGTGTCATATCTGAAAGTTATACTTCATTAAAATCTCAGTGTACTTTAAAGGATGGGATGAGCTTTTAAGCTTGGCTTTCTGCTGAATCATTTCCAATGGATTTCACTGAAGCAAATAATGATTCATAAGATGCTTTCAATGCTGTAGTCTGGGTTTAGGCTACATATTACTCTTTTGAGACGGGATCTCACTATGTTGCCCGGGCTAGAGTACAGTAGCATAATCATAGCTCACGGCAACCTCAAACTCCTGGGCTCAAGCAATCCTCCTGCCTCATCCTACCAAGCAGCTGGGACTACAGGTACACACCACCATGCCCAGCTAATTCTTTTTGTATTTTTTTTTTGTAAAGACATGGTCTCACTTCGCTGCCCAGGCTGGTCTAGAACTCCTGGGCTCAAGCGATCCTCCCACCTTGGCCTCCCAGAGTGCTGGGATTACAGGCATGAGCCACCACAGCCAGCCTACCCATCATTTTAATTCGGGTATTGATGTGGGTGTTGATACATCTGTTCCAAAGATCTTTGGAAAGGTTATTTCAGTCTCTCTGGGTTAGACCTGTGGTAGCTGCAGATGAGAGTCTATGATTCAGTTCACGGCACTCCCACATAGTCCAGATCTATACAGAGAAGAGCACTCTTATATTTCACTGCATCAAAAGTGCCACTGATTATAAGATGCACCCCAGTTTCAGACATGTTAAACTATGAAAAAATTTGTTATAGAATTGATGAAATACTGGCCAGGCACTGTAGCTCATGCCTGTAATCCTAGTACTCTGGGAGGCCTAGGCAGGAGGATCGCTTGAGGCCAGGAGTTTGAGACCAGCCTGAACAATAGCAAGACCCCTGTCTCTACAAAAAATAGAAAAAAAATTAGCTCGGCATGGCGGTACCCACCTGTAGTCCCAACTACTCGGGAGGCTGAGGCACGAGAATTGCTTGAGCCCAGGAGTTTGAGGTTGCAGTGAGTTGTGAAGAGGCCACTGTACTCTAGCCTAGGTGACAGAGCAAGACCCTGTCTTAAAAAGAAAGAAAAAAAAACTGATGAAATATTGGCAGGGTCTTCTTTTATACCTTTGTTCTTTTTATACATCAGGGTTTTCCCAAATGAATTTCATATTCTGTTACTTCTTGCCTAAAATGAATTTTGTAATGTGACTTCAAGTATTTCTTAAATTTTCTCAGTGTGTTGATTGCTCTAAGTATATAAAATTTAACTTTTATTAGAGTTACTTACCTGGTGAAGTAACGCTGGTTTCTTTTTTTTTTTCAGGCTGACACCAACAAAGATCGTATTGACATTGCCAATGCCAGAGCAAAGAAACTCATTGACAGCTAAAGCTACTGTTCTACTTCTTTATCATTTATTCACTTCCCTAGCTCCTTCTCCAAAGTCATTACCTTTTTCAGAGTTTGAAATTTTGGTTCCATACTCTTCTAATCGGGAAATAATGTGGAAGAAGGGCCAGAGGAGTAACAGCTGCTTCCCCAACCCCCATTTTGTATTTTCTGTTGCTGTCGAGGGTAGACTGCTACTCAGCCTTCCTTCTGGTATTTTCTTTCTCAGTTCATAGTCTTAGATTGATTTTCATACATCATATATAGTGTTTTCATCTTATTCTTTACTTCAGCAGTTTCTTTTGCTTTCAAAATTTGGAAGCATTGCCAAAGACAACCCTGAGAAAGGAAGCTGAAGAGCTGACTGGTTTATTCCTTTGTTTTTGTGGTGGCAGAAGGGTGAGAGAGGAGCAAGAGATAATAGGTTATTATCTCAGTAAAAACCTACAGGCCACAAAACAAGAAGTTGCATAGCCACAGTAAAGATCTAGTTGGGTATAATTTTTAATTTAAGTTGTAGTTATTGCCAATTTAGGCTAATCCTTGATTTGAAGCTTTTATACACAATATTTTTGTTATATATCACAATTTTGCAACCTTTCCTCCGGATAGAATAGAATGAGTTTTCTTAAAGTGAGCTTAATTTTTGAACTCCTAGTGATTCATACATGTACATAGATTCTGTGATCCCATCTCTTATTGGTCTATTCAGGAACACTTTGAATAAACGAATAGTTTTTTATTTTCATGTTATTAGTAGTATCATGGTCCCATTACAGGCCTATTAACCTCATAAATATGTCATTAGCCTTTGAAGAAAAATATGTAAATATATATTTGTAACATGAGAATTTCTCTCTAAAGCAGGGCTTAAAATTTTTGGAAAAGTTTGACAAAGTATATCACGTAAATTCAGATTTACCTCAGTGCCAAGAATTATGTTTAGATAGGAAAAAGGAAACTTATTTTGATCTCAGGTAGAAAAATAGATTGCATTGAGTTTTATGTGGCTTTAGATTTTTAAAAAATTAGAATTTATCCTGTCTTACTAAATGGAATTTGGAAAATTGTGCCTTTGGTTTAATTCTTGGTGATTACACTGTCATTCTCTTACCCTTGTGTATTGAACTATGTCCAGAATCAAGTTTATGTAGCTGTTCTGAGACTCTGATTAGTATTTGTTACCTTTATTTAAAAATTAGCATCTGAACGCTTCTAAGATATCAATGTGGATTGGTTTGACCACTAACCACTGCTTGATCCTTCCAATTAAATTTTGTAACTAACTAATGGTATTGTTCTTTCAAGTAAGTAACATGTTTTTATGACTTATTTGGGGGTCAATAATTTCATTAGCTCTTGTTTAACAAATTGAATAAAGCAAAAGTCTATAAGTCAAGAAGCACTCCAACAGAAAGTTGCCGTTAGTACCCTCCCAATTTTTATTGGAAGTATTGACAGGACTTTCTATAATTTGTCATGAGATTCATTTAAATTATTACTAGTCTTTTATTCATTTGGTTTTAAATACTCTAGTGACTGAAAGGATAGTTTCTGAGAATGACAACTCATGTACTAGAGAAGATGCAGTTAACATGGGAATTTTCAAAGTCTGAAGAGGAAAATATTAAAGTGAGACTTAATTAGACCCTCTGTAATAGAAGTGCTCCATATCAGAATGAGTAGTTTGGTCGATGATGGTAAATGTGTAAAGTAGGAAGGTGTAAAACAGTGGGGATTATCCTATACATAAATGCCCTTCCAAAAAGCACTCAAATTTTTTTAACACTATTGTGGCTAAAAAAATAGTTTTCTGAGGAACCCAGTATGCTTGTATGCATGGTATAATTGGTTAGAAGCATGAGCTAAGGCACCAAATTGTTTGAATTTACATTCTAGGTTGGCTACTTGTTGGCTGGAGTGACTGTAAGCTCATTTTTTTGCCTTACTTTGTATGTAAATAGGGATTATAACAAGCATATCTTGGTGATATTGTGGGTTTGGTACTAGACCACCACAATAAAGCAAACACTACAATAAAGTGAGTCACAAGAATTTTTTGGTTTCCTAGTGCATATAAGAATTATGTTGGCTGGGTGTGGTGGCTCACACCTAATCTTAGCACTTTGGGAGGCTGAGGTGGGAGGATTGCTTGAGGCTGGGAGTTTGAGACCAGTTTGAGCAACACAGTGAGACCCCATCTCTACAAAAAATTTTAAAGAATTAGCCAGGCATCCCTTGAGCCATGACTCGAGGTTGCAGTGAGCTATTATGACACCACTGCACTCTAGCCCAAGTAACAGAATGAGACCCTCTCTCAAAAAAATAAAGTTATGTTGACATTATTCTGTAGTCTACTAAGTGTTCAATAGTATTATGTTTAAAAAATAATGTACATACCTTAATTAAAAATACTTTATTGCTAAAAAATGCTAACAATCATCTGAGCCTTGAGCAAGTTGTAATCTTTTTGCTGGTGCAGTGTCTTGCCTTGATGTTGATGGCTGCTGACTGATCAGGTGATTAGTTTGGGTAGCTGTGGCATTTTGTGAAATTAAGACAACCATGAAGTTTGTCACATCTATTGACTCATCCTTTCACAAAAGATTTCTCTGTAGCATGCAATGCTGTTTGATAGCATTTTACTTATAGTAGAATTTCTTTCAAAATTGGAGTCAGTGCTCTTAAGCTCTGCTGCTGCTTTATGCACTAAGTTTATGTAATCTGAATCCTTTGTTGTCATTTCAACAATGTTCACAGCATTTTTACAAGGAATAGATTCCATCTCAAGAAGCCACTTTCTTTACTTATCCATCAGAAGCAACTCTTCATCCATTCAAGTTTTATCATGAAATTGCAGCAATTTAGTCACATCTTGAGGCTCCACTTCCAATTCTAGTTCTCTTCCTATTTCTACCACATCTGCAGATATTTCCTCCGCTGAAGTCTTGAACTCCTCAAAGTCATCCATGAGGGTTGGAGTCAACTTCCAAACCACCACTGTTCATGTTAGTATTTTGACCTCCTCATGTAATTCATGAATGTTCTTAATGGCATCTAGAATAGTGAATCCTTTAAAGAAGGTTTCAATTTACTTTGTCCAGATCCATCAGATATTCCTCACTGATATATGGCATTACGAAATGTATTTCTTAAATAATAAGACTTGAAAGTCAAAATTACTCCTTGATTGATTGGGCTGCAGAATGGATGTTGTGTTAGCAAAACAACCTGACCTGACCTGAAATGAAAACAACATTCAGGTACCGCACGGTGGCTCACGCCTGTAATCCCAGCACTTTGGGAGACCGAGGTGGGAGGATCACTTGAAATCAGGACCAGCCTGAGCAACACAGCAAGACCTTGTTTCTACATAAGAAAGAATTATCCACCCAGAAGTGTTATAGGAAAAAAAAATAGAAAAATTAGCCAGGCATGGTGGCCTGTGCCTGGAGTCTCAGCTACTCTGGAAGCTGAGGCAGGAGGATCACTTTAGTCCGGGAGTTTGAAGTTGCAGTGAGATATGATGACACCACTGCACTCTAACCTGAGCAACAGAGTGAGACCCTGTCTTGAAAAAAAAATAAAACAATATTCATCTCCACGTACATCTCCGCCAGAGCTCTTTGGTGACTAGGTACATTGTCAATGAGCAATAATATTTTGGAAGGAATCTTTATTTCTGAGCAGTAGGTCTCAATAGTGGGCTAAAAATATCCAGTAAATCATGCTATACACAGATGTGTCATCTAGGCTTTATTGTTCTATTTGTAGAGCATAGGCAGAGTATATTTAACATAATTCTTTTTTTTTTTTTTTTTT